AAAATATACATTCACCTCCATTGTGCTACAATTTCATTTTTAGTTTGTGGGCCCATTCCTGGGATGCATACGGTTACCCAGAGTAACTCCAAAAATATATCCAAAAGTGCCACTATCACTTGTATTTACTCATTTAAAAAACAGACCTCTCACGTCTTTTCACTTGTACTGGCAGTTCTTTAGGAAGTTATTTGCCTTTGTTTCCCTTCACTATTCTTTGCTGTATGAGCCCAGAAAACTGTTTGAACAAGACTCTCCTTGAATTCTCAACAGGAATTTGCCTTCCTGATCTCTCTATCTTCAGATCAGCCACACAGGTTCAACAAAAATCCTCTTGATTTTTCTGTTGTGTTGCAGGCCTTCTGCCATTGCAACCTCATTGAGATAGATAGGCAGTTACTGGTGTCAAAGTATGTAATCTATAGTCAAATATTCACTATTAAACCTTTTCCTTCACTTCTTTTACTGAGATTGCTGATGTGTGGAGATTTTTCTGGAGTCCCAGGGGTAGTTAGCAGCTGGCACAGCCTTACTAGGCAGGTATAGTTTCAAGATTTAGCTGCTTTTGCACTGAGCTGAGCAACATCAATGCTGGTGCGTGAAACACAGCCGTGTATAGAGAAGGAAACAAGCTCAGCCAGGATACAGCGTGGCTCAGACAAACTATCGCCACGCAGAGGTTCTTTTGCTGTCTGGGACATGTAAATATCTTTCCTACCCTTCACTTAAAGCTCTAGGGAATCTTCTATTGGATGACAAGTTTAAGTTCCAATAATGAACCATTTTGCATGATTGATGGGGGATGTTGTGCACACACCCAGAATGTCATTTCCAATCAAAAGGAAAGCAATTGTTTCCATATGTTGGCACACTTGTGATCTTGGTGTTGAGCCAGTTGTCTGGCTGTGATCAGGCAGCAGCATCTAACAGTGATGGAAGATTATACCTTGGAAGTGGGGTGCTAACTTTAGGCTGTATTCCTTAAAAGGATATAAAGTCTGAACACTTATCCAGGATGTAATTTATGGTTCCAGTATGTTTTGACTTTGCATAGATGAAAAAATAGTCCTTTTGTGTATGCATATATGCATAAAAATTCCTTCCTGCTCAGCACCCCTCTCCCCCCGCCAAAGAAAAAGGAATCAAATAAAACAATAGCTGGTGCTGGTTTATGTGCTAACTTAGCTGCATGGGCTGTTGCCTGCTGAGGCTTGTAAGGATTCCCCATATTTTTAACTCAGCTCCTTAGAGGTATTTTAACAGTGAGATCCAGTTTTTTAAAGTTGCTTAGCTGGAACGCACGCTCTTGGAACAGATTTTGAGAGATGCACTGTACCTACCAAACACATCTGGTTTTGATTTGTTTTTTCAGTTTTTGGGGTTTTTTGTGGTGTTTTGGTGTTTGGGTGGGGTTTTTTTTAAGTGTCATTAGTTGCTTATTGCTGCACAAATGGATTAACATAATTTTGAGACTTCAGCAATGAGATTCCTCTATGCCAAGGCCCTACTGACTTCTGCTGCATCAAGCACAGGTAGATACCCCAGGCAGGTGATAAGTTAAAGGCTGCTGAAAGAAAGTATTTTTAACATATGAAGAAGCCACCGCTTTAAAACATACTGTGAGTTACCCAGCTATCTACAGTTACCTGAACCATCAACACTGGAGCAAAGCTGCCTGATTATGATCCAGCTAATGAAGAATCGCTGCATCCTTCCTGAAGCATCCACGCCAGCAGTACAAAACCTGCAGTGGATGTTGCGTATGTGTTGTGTGATCCCATTTGAAAAACACACAAGCAGGTTGTTAGAGAGACACAGGCTTCTTTCTATGTCACAGACTTGCTAGTCCTTTTGGATGACCTCAGCATAGAATTCTAAAAAAATGCATTCTTTCACTCCCTAAATTGTGAGCAACTGTCAAGCTTTTAATTCTGCAGCCAAAAAACCTTTGTAACTGTGAGACACAGTGGGCAGACTCATTCAAATCACTGCAGCAATGCTAATTCCCCTAGCTGAGAATAATGAACATATCAAATCACTCTCCAACACATGCATTAAATTTAGGGATGTGAGTAGATTAGCATTTTAATTCTAGAAATGTTTGCAGTGATATCATTGGAGTGTCTTGGGGATGTGTATTGACCATTCTTATGGTCCTCATCACGCAAGAGTCGTGCACGTGTGGAGTGAAATGTCACATTGCTGAAAGACAAGGATGTGTGTTTCTTCCTAAGATGACTTGCAGTGTTGTGAAAGGCAAGCAGAATGCCAAATTTGTTTTTCTTCTTTTCAGTCATGTGCATGGGGTTTTTTAGTTATTTATTGGAAATATTAACTTATTAAGGCTCTCTACTGGAATATTTGCATAATATATTATGAATAGATTTCTGATGCCTAAAATTCCACTCAGAACTGAACTAATGTCTTTTTATAGAAGATTAATTTGCAAAACTAATGTGCTGAAATGTATTAGGATACATAATGTACTCAAAAGCTAACAAAATTACTTTGAGTAATTTATTGAGAAAATAGTTTTGATCTTCTGTGCAGGTGTTCGGATATTGAGGCAAAAATTCTCACTATTTTTATGTCAACCACATACACGCTCAAAATTTCAGCAGTGGCATTATTCACATGTGGTTTTGAGCAATTCAGATTCTACCTTGTCTCTAAGAATGGCATTTTCCATGCGGCAAAAGCAGAGTCTGATAGCAGTGTTGTACATGCAGCTACTACCATTGTTGATATGAATGTTCTTCTTAACTCTGTATTCCAACATAAAAACTGGGATCTAGAATTTCCATCTAATTTTATTTTTCACTTGTAAGGTCTTCCTCAATTGCATATCTAGATTTGGTTATTAAACGCTGTCATCAGGAATCAGATTGGCAATTTATAGGTCTCCTTCTCTCTACAAATAAATGCGTGTTAACTCTAAATGTGATACATTCCTGTGCTCCTGCACAGGAAGTTGTGGCTAGCTCCAGGCATGGCTCAAGCTTGTAGGAGTCCATTAACAGCTACAAATCTATATGTGCGTGCACTTTTGTAGGAACTTCAAGAGTTATGTTTGCAATTCCAAACTGTAAGTATTACTATTCCCCTCCTGTAGCTAGTGAAACCAAGGTGTGAGCTTTTACGTATCATTGCCCAGGATTGCTCTAGAATTGCTGAACAGAAGACAATTGGCCCAAAACCACTAGTGCTATACTTGAATGTAGTTCTGCGCTATCTTTGGAATCATGTTAGTACTAATTAACCACTTCCAGCATATTCATGGTCTTCAGTATATTTCTTAATACTAGCTGTATGCTAATCTAGCAAGCTGCTCCATGTTAATTACAACTTCACTGAGGCGACCAGTTTGTAAAAAGACTGGGAGATTCATTTCACTTAGTGGTCTGCATAGGCGTTCCCTCTTACCCTGCTATGCCTGGCAGCCAAGCACTTAAGCGCAGGCTGTCGTCTGTGTTGACCTTGAGGAACTCGTATTGTGACCCCCGTTTCCCTGTCTTCTCAGTGGGGTATCTTGTTTCCTCTGCTATTACTCTAACAAAGGACTTGAGGTTATCACACTTAAAGATTTACGTACCTGATCTGGCTTTTGCTGCTATATGGGGCCCGTGGACCACTATTTCTGCATGATGGTGCATGTTCCCAAAATAAATGTCCTTAAATTAGCTGGTTAGGTTACTAGGAGCAGTCTGGCTGTGGCAGCAGAGTGCTCGATGTAGAACAATTTGATTCTTTTGTGCATTTTTTGAGAAAACGTGCTGTTTTGAAGTTAATCATTATCTAGTTACCTTGTAAATAATAGATACTTCTCAACATATTAATAGAATATTATTGTCATATATATTTTTCAACAAGAAAGGGATCTTTCAGCAGATACGGGCCTTGGTCCGGCAACGGCATAGCAGTAAGTCAGCATCTGTTTGTGTGCTGCCAGTTGTGTCATAGGGATGCCAACTGCACATTTGCTTGATTCCAGCTCTGCTCCCACATTCGGGGTTCATTTGACGGTTTTGTGTCTCAGTGACTGTAACAACTTAGCTGTGCTACCGCTGTGCAAATGGAAGTGCAGTGGCCTACATTTCAACAGTGATTAGTGAGACAGCCTGACCCATTTGAAACGCTTTAAGCAGCCCTGCTTTCCAGAAAGCTTTGAGCACTTGTCCACTAGTGGATCTGGTCTTATGCCACATCTCGAGCTGAAAATTCAAAATTTCTGGTCATTTTGGAGAATTTGATACAGAGTGCTTAAATTGTGCTTGACACTTGTTTTCTTCTTCTTGTGCCTGTATGTGTCATGGTTCAGTGTACTGGGTCAGTCTGTGTTTCATTAAATATTAACAGTGAAAATTATTCATGTTCATTTAGAGGGCAATACTGTTGTGTTAATGGATGGAAAATTGCCTGGAAGACTGCTCGTAAAGGTCTTGTGGCAACTGGTACTGAATCATTGATGGTGCAGTTTCTAAACTGTCCTGCAGAGGGGGTGGGTAATTTGAAGAGGTAAAATGTCCACGGGAAAACAAGAAGATACTGTAAGAAATACTCATGCACCTGCCAAGTGATCTGAAAGGCCTTTTCTGTCCTACGCTTTAAAAATGCTTTCACAAAAATCTGCCAGTCTGGCCTTCATCCTGACCCCGGTATAACCACTGCTCTGAAGCCACCTCAGCAATGCCGTCCTTCCACAAGACCTTGTATTGCTGTGACACCTGCAAGCACCAGAGTACCTGACTCATTGTGCCCACTTCCCCTTGTGGTAAATGTTGTGGTTTCACTTGTCTGG